ATCTGCACGACAACTCGGAACCACGAGCGTACTCGTAGGGCCGCGCTGACGTTGACACGCCTGCCGTTATCGACGGCGGCGCTTATGGTTGGACAGAAAGCGTCGATTCTTGGTTGGCGGATGGAGCGATAGGATTCGATCTTCTGAGGGCTGAGGAGGTTGGTGACGCATAAGCGGCGGATGTGGCGCCAGTAGGGGCCAGAGTCGGAGAAGGAGAGGCCCTTGTAGTTGTATGACATGTGCCGCATGACCTCAGAGGGAGGGCGGTTGGCGAAGGCGGCGTCGTGGGTTTTCAGGAAGATCTCTGGCGGTGCGCGGGAGGCAGGTAGGGCGAAACGCATATACGGTGGGGATGGAGCCGAGGCGGTTGTGCATTAGGGGGGCTGAGTAGGAGGAGGCGAGGGAGCGAAGGACGGTGGGGAGGGGGCGAAGGTGGAGGCTGCCGATGTAAGGGGAAGGAGGCGGGCCGGGAGGGAGGGGAAAGGAGGCAGGGCGGCGGTGAGCGTGGAGATGGAGGAGGTAGGTCAGAGGACGGAGAAGGAGTGTGAGGAGGAGGGAGGTGGAGAGGAGGAATGAAGTCATGGTGAGAGTTTGTGCTCGCCAAAAATAGGATTGGCTTTTTCCCCTTCTTTTTGAGCCCAACTGAAAATAGGATTCCACACTTTGTAACACTTGTTTCTCACTGCCTATAAATAGGATGGCCTTAATAACAATTCTTTGTAACGATTGTGTTTCACTGCCTATAGATGGAATGACCTTAATAACAATTCTGACTGTACTCATAGTAACAATGGTTTCTCACTGCCTATAAAAATAGAATGACCTTAATAACAAGGAAAATGGTACACGCACACCTTGTGCCACACACTCTCTCTCTGCTACAGTGCACTGGGCCCACATGAAATTTAAAAAAAAATCTCATGTGGGCCTCATGCAGTGTAGCAGAGAGAGGGAGTGTGGTACAAAGTGTGCCTGATGGTGTGCCTGTAGTGCCACCCTAATAGCAATTCTTTCACAGACTAGTTACTTTGTGGGGAAGAGTCGGCCCACTAGTGTTTTTGCGCGCTCTCTCTCTCTCTGAACTCATGGTCTTCACTCTTCCGTATTGCCTGCTTTAAATTGGCATCCACATTGTGCTTAGATGGCAATTTTTTGTGGTAGATGCTCAACTACTGAACAATAACTACTAGAAAAAGAGGTTGGGCTCGCGGTTGGACTGTGAGCCCCTGTGGGGCCCGCCCCCTGTTCTCCTCACTACGAGCCAAATGGCAGGATTCCAGGAGACCTGTAATAGTCCATATTTAGGGGCTGTTTGGTTCCTTTTTTTTTGGTGGTAAAAGTGGGGAAAGCTGCCAAAAATGTTAGTTTTTTTGCAGCTTTCCCCCAAAATCACCCCTTAAAAAGGTGATTTTGGGGGAAAGCTGCCAAAAAGCTGACATTTTTGGCAGCTTTCTCCTCTTTTACCACCCAAAAAAACCTATCCAAACAGCCCCTTAATGGGCTGCAGCCAATGGGACAACAATTCGTACTCAAATCCGGTAGTCTATGCTTTCTTTCGAGGAATCTGTCCTAATTTTAACTTACACCCTATTTCGTGTTCGGATTTAAAAAATACGTACTTTTCCATTCAATTCCTATCCAAAAATTTATAGTTTGAAGGTTTCATCTATGTATATGTATCATTTTGTTGGACATTGGATACCAAACCTAAATTTTGCCGAAACTTGGAGTACCAAACTTAAATTTTATTGAAATTTGACATATCAAAATTCAATTTTGTTGAGTTTTAGGGTTGCGAAGTTAAATTGTGTAGACCTTTGGGTCAAAATAAAATGAAGTGATTTTTTTGACATTTTAGGGGAAAAACTTTGAATATCAAAGTTAACATGTGAAATTTAGGATATTTAACTTTAATCCCAAAGTTCAACGGAATTAAACTTACATAGGGAGAAAATAGTCATACTATAAAGTTGCTGAAAAGTTAGAGGGAGATTGTTCTATGTTAACTTAGTAGTAGATGAGCGTGATTTTTTGAAATTTAAATAATTAAATATGATAACGCTGAAATAGAATCTGAACCAGGAATGGTTCCTTTAATAATAATAAACACGCTTGTAAAAATGGTTTATCTATATACTAAATCTATTGGGGTTAGTATTGTAGTTTGACACTATTCATTCTACAGCACACTCCAATAGATTATTGTTAAAAGAGACGATATGTAATTTTTATTTACAAACCCAATGTTCAACTCAATTTTCTTATAAGTCCACCACTTAAAAAATCCATCTCAAGTACATAATATTTTGCATGTTTGAAACTTTTCTCAAGTAATAATAAATAAATGAGTTTTTTATCTAAATATCCAATAAGCTAACCCAATTTACTTTTAAGTCCACTCACTTGAAAAATTAATCATAAACCTGAAATACTCCATTAACTCTAATAATATAATATAATAATATAATGAAGGACCCTATAAAGAGTTTTTTTGCTATAAACCTAAAATTCCCTAAATTATTTTTAAATTCACTCACTTCACAATCCGTCTTCGACCAAAAATACTCTAATGAATTACTGTAAACCTAATTTATATTTCATAAGTTTGTTATATCATAAGTTACAACTTTAGATTGATTATTTAGCTATAATCTTATCCTTATTTACTTTGAAACCTACCCATTACAAGAACTTTCTTATTATAAATCTAAAGTATTAGATATATTTAGTTTTAAACAACATACCTTGAAAATCATTCTTAATTAGAGTCAAAAAACTACACCACCCTATTTTTAAGCTTAATTTGTGATGGTTTGTACATATGGTTTAAGTTGTTAGACCAAATGTTTAAGCATTATTTTAGGTTTTTTCCGCATTGCTGCAATGTTGTAAATGGTGAATAAGTTTTTTCCTACAAGTTTAAGGTTTTATGCTCATTTATTTTTAAATTCACCCACTTTGCAAATAATTTTTTTTCTAAATCAAAAGTATTATGGTAGTTTTCTATACATGTAAGTTGCTATATTTTGTTTTATTTAACATGTAAAATTTTGTTCTAAGTGATTACGTAGAATAGGGATTCTATCAGAACACCCTATCTAATAGGGTAATTTATACTACTCATGGGTGGTTAAATGGTTAGTTTATAAATTATGATTATTCTATCAGGTGTTAATCACCCCACTTTTATAGGAGTGGTTCATAGAAATCCTATTGCTTTTGGTACACCATCTATTTTATAAGTAAAATACTTAATAGTGTTGCATTTTTGTTTTTTTCGCATGCCAATGAGGCAGCATGGAAAATATCTTCTTGTATATAAACTCAAAATTTTGGCCTATTGTCTTTTAAACTTATTCTCTTCCTAAAATGAGTTCTTATGTATACACCTAAAACATTCCCTTATTTTATTATTAAAGTCACTCACCTCCAAGATCACTCTTGGGATCCAAAATACTCATTCAAACAAATCTTAAACTCACTTTACATTTTCACCGCTCATCATATATGAGTATATTTTGTTATTACCTTGTATATTTTCGCTCTAAATCCAAAGTCATACTATTTATTTTTAAACTCACTCATTTCCAAAGCCACTCTTAAACACAAAATACTCAATATTATTTGTAAATTTATTTTGTATTTCAACGATTTGGTTAGCTATGATGTTTTTTAACTAAATAATTATATTTTTATTTTAAGTGGTTAGCTATGATATTTTTTAACTAAATAATTAATCCATGAAGTTTTTTTGTTGGTTTTTTGGCCCTAAGCCCAAAGTTCCCCTCTATTTCTTGAGTCCACACATATTCATAGTAATTATTTTTCTAAATTGTTAGGTGTACTATGTAACCAGATGTCTGGACCATTATATTTTAGCTTTTTACACATTAATGTTGCAGCATAGTGAACTGTATCACTCACTTCTTAAAATGAATTTTTATCTCTAAACCAAAAGTTTTACCTTCATTTACTTTTAGACCCACACACATTCTAGATCACCTTGGTTCTAACATACTTAAAAGAATTAATTTAAACTATTGCATGCTAGTAATTTTGTATTATTGTAAGTCGATATATTTTGCTTTAACTTGCTATTTTATTTAAAATATTAGTTATACAACATAAATTTAGATCAAATATTTAAACTATATTTCTCTAAAAAAATTAAATTTTAATTTTGATTGTTTACACGTAAATGCCGTGGTATGATCAATTTCATGGTTACCGACTAAAATCACAGTACAGAAGATCCAAAGCATGTTATTTTGCACATAAAATTTGCATCACATCATCCACTGCCATAGTTGCATCACATCGCTGTTGCGCGCCGTGCGGAAGCATGCTCGACAACCAAACGAGTCAGTGAGCGATGAGAGAAGAGAACCAAATCAAATACGAGTGCAATTCACCAAAATACGACACAAATCAAACCAAACACAGGAATTTATGTGGTTCGGTAATTGCCCACGGGGAGAGGATGGGGAGATTTTACTATATGAAGGAGAAATACAACGGGTTACAACTCACAAATTTACTCAAATATAACCCTAACCAAAGTTCTCAACTCCTTCACAATATCTCCCTCTCAAAGTGTTCAAAACAATGCTAATTCTCTCCTTAAGAAATACTAAAAAAACGTGTTTCTATTTATAACAAAATACAATCCCAAACATTGTGGGATTCTAAAAACGAGTCTGCCACACCCAGGTGTGACACTTACTACACCCCTAAAAACAGGACAGATTCTGCCATACCTGGCTGTAGCAGATACCACACTCCTAACAACAGGGGAAGATGTTTCCAACTTACTCGCTCAAAGTAAAGATGATTTCTATTCATTTGATCGGTTGGAAATTTACTCTTCATACCCCATACTTGATAAGCATCAATTGATAACTCATACTTAATTTGTCCTTCTCCTCTTTCAGTCGTTTTCCGGCTGGCTTTGCTCGCCACTCCTCCGGCACTGCTGCCTTTTATCCTCCTCTACATTGAAA